TTGTTTTGGGCCAGTCAGTTAGTCATTTTGATTGCTATGCCGCTTTTTCAATTCCTCTTTCATACTTGCAAATTTTTGTTTTTGTTTTATAGATTTGTGCTGATTTGTAATTTTTTACTTTTTCATGATTTTTTCTTCATTTTTTTTGCTTGTTCTCATTACGATTGCACGATGTTTTTTCTGCCGCATAAACCTTGAACGCGGACAAATTTACATTTACACAAGCGAAAAGCTAAAAATGCAAAAAGCAAAGACAGAAGTGCACTAAAGGACCTCCACAGCGGTTGTCAGCACGCGCATTATGTTTGCGAAGTGAAAAATCGTTGCGAATGTGGTGAATTTGCTTGCGTCTATTCAATAATGGGTGCGCGTGGTGAACTGAGAGGAACGAATGACAAAGCACAAATATTTGCGGTGGGATGTGGAAATGAAAATGAATATTTATGACCAGAATCTGTATGTTTAGCTAAACACATTTAAATATGTATGTATGTATTTGCATATGTATGTCTGTAAGAAAGCATTTAGAGGATTTTTGTTAAATCACGTGCCAAATCGCAGAACACCGTATTGAAACTGTCTTCGACTAAGATAGCTGAGATAGATATGTACTAAATAATAAATCTAAATCTACAATTAAATATTCAATGTAACTTATTAATTATTTTGATTTTGCATTGCTAAACTTGTGGCAACCCTCTTCAAAAATATTTTCAAAATAAACTTTTCTCGTTTGACATTCATATAAAACTATGCATTTAATTTAACTTATTAATTACATAAATTGATTTTGCAAATCTTAACAGATGGCAAATATCGTAAAAAAGAGGGTCGAAATGAAGCTTTCTTAGTGATATTTCGTTTGATATCCAAATACAAATATTTCAATTAACTTTTGAATTTGATGGATTTGGAATAACTAAACAGGTGGCAACAATGTTAAAAAACTAGTTTCTAAATTAACCTTTCTTGAATGCCTCTCGTTTAGTAGCAACATTAAATATTTCACTTATGTAACTTATTAATTAAATGCATTTTGAATTTTTCACCAGGTGGCAACCTTCGTCAAAAATATTTCTAAAATAAAGCTTACCTAAACCTCTCTTGTTGGACACCCATTAACTTCACCCATTAACTTCATTTAACTTGTTCATTAAATTGATTTTGAATGTAAAATATTTAATTAAACTTATTAATTAAAATGATTTTGTAACCCAAAATAGGTGACAACCCTCTTAAACACCATTTTTGAAATAAAGCTTTCTTATACCTCTCTCGTTTGATACCCATATAGAAATATTTTTTTTAACGTGTTAATTGAATTCATTTTCAAATTTTGATTAGGTGGCAACCCTCTTAGAAATTTTTTCGAAATAAATAGTTATAGAACCTCTTTTTTTGACACCAACATTTTTGTAACATTGTTTTTAACCTATAAATTAATTGATTTAAATTTTTTACAAGGGTGGCAACTGTCTTCAGAAAGTATCCTATATTTTGTTCTAGGACACAGCCTATCTGGGTGCCAAATTTCATTCAAATATGTCCAGCCATTTTAGCGTGAAAGAGCATCAAACATACTCACATACTCACACACTCACATACATTCACATTTATAATACATACATACATACTTATTAGCCGTATTGTTTATTCTTCATTTTCGGCTCTAGAACCGTTTATCACTTTGGGCCGTGACCAAAAACCTTTATCAATTGCCACTCTCCTTTGCGAAATTATGCCAGCTGTTCATTCCGAGTGAAGACAGGTCCTTCTGCACTTGGGTCCTTCATTGTGTTCGTGAGAGTCCTCGAATTCATTGTCTACACATGGGTGGCCGAGTCTTCTTTGAGCACAGCCATATGTAGATCTTGCGGAGAATTGTTGCCTCCTCTCGAAAGCCTCCAAAGCCCCATTATCTTTGGTCGACATCGTCCATGTTTCTGTGCTATATAAATGGAGAGGCATGCTTAGCAAGAGTTATTCTTCACTTGATATCTAGGCTTACCTTATTGGCGGTTTTAATGCTGGATCCTAGGTAGACAAAGTCCTTCACTACTGCAAAGTTACACCTGCCAACAGTGAGGAGTGTCTCAATAGGCGAAGACTCTTCAAATGTTGCCTACCCCCTGTCCTGCTTAAAACCTCTTTTGGTCTCGAACGACGCGGCGAGGTAGTTCCATATTTGCCAATATTATTTGGACGGATGTAAAAGTAGTTTAGAGTTGGTGCCTATTCGTTCTGTCAAACGCGGCGGTAATTGGCGCAATAAGCAGGATCTCTCTTTTTGTGGGTTGTGGTTGTGGGATTGTGGTGAAGTGGTGCGACATGAGGTTCGTCACTACGCCTATTTGTGGGTTTTTCTTCATCAAAAGCGCAACCGGTGCAGCGATTCAAAAGCGTTCAGAAGTCTTTTACTCCATATTATAAGTATAATCAGGGCGTCTGTAGCCATATTTCTATTATATTTAGAGTATAGGAGTGGTTGGTTAGGTAGGATACGCTGCTTTCGTCTTGCAGTTTGGACAAACAAAGTGGAAGGATCTGTCCACACTTTTTGTGAAAAACTGGCACAAATTTGAAACTAATAGATGCAATTGGACACAATTTCTGTTCTCAGTCCAGACCTGCATGCAGACAGACGCTCCAGTGAGACTATGCTTAAGCTATCCTCGAAAACTGGACATTTTTCGAAGTAAGGATTATTTTCACACAAAATTGTTAATGGATTCTTGTTTTCTTCATCTTTACGGTTTTTAAAAGAATCGCTATACCGGATCTGGAACCCTGCTATCAAAAGTCAGTATGCCCGTAAGAAAACTTATGTTTGGTTAAAAAAACCCCAGAAATTTTTGTGTTTTTTGATAATCGATCGATAGCCAGGGGGAACGTGGTACTAAAAATGTGTCCAGAAAATTCTATCTGCCGTTAAAAAAAAATATTCTTCCCAATTTTCGAGTGCAGGAATCTCACAGGGACTTTATACTTTAACTCAATAAAAGGCTCAAGGAGAAGCGATAAAAGGCTCATGGACCGAACATCTTGAGCGGTGTTGTGACCCACATTCCGTGTTATAATTATCCTTCCACGGCGTTAAGCTCTATGTACTGAATATGTAGATGGACGACTTTATCGTTCTTAGTTAAAAATTTGTTATAATGCCGCTCAGACCCAAAGATTTATAATGCTACAAGAATATAATAATCCATACTATCTTTAGTGATTATTACTAGGACTGGAGCTTTCGCAGAGATTCGACATGGAATTCGGCGTAACCTTTCATATAATAACACTAACCTACCCCGGGATCGCAGTAAGTACTGGGGAGCGGTGGGGGCCTTAGACACGCCGGTGTCTTCGGCTACCCTTTCAACAGAAACGACATTGTTTTAGTAAATAGAATTGACATCAAACTACTTTCTGGGCACCGGTCAAAACCAATTGCAATTCCAATTGCACCGAATAGGTATGAACACAGAGTCGGAATATCAGCTCTGCCTCGAGGCTGATGAAACTTCGGAGCATATTCTCTGTCACTGTTCGGCTTTTCTAGCTTCTATCCTTCAAAAAAGAAATTGTGATGAAAGATGTCTAACTATGGATTAGTTAACGAGCTGGAGAATAAGGAGTGCTTCATTAAGTTTCTTGAAAACAAAAAAGTTATTCTGTGTTACATAGTGTTTGCTTACAAAAACAAAAAAATCAACAAAACATTAACATATGATTTTTGATATACTAAGAATGCAAACCTTAATGAGAAAAATGCGATTCTGCGCAATGTTATTGAGCGCCTAGAGAGGAAAAGTGTTGCCATAGGTAGACAAAATCTCGAAATTCACCACAAATTGAGAATGGTAGTAAGAAAAAGTAGCATAACAGTTAAAGAGTTAAAAGCCATGTCTTGGCTTTCGGTGCAAATTCAAGTTTATTCCGTTGGTAAACGTAGTGTATTGCTGTCCTACGTGGACGCGTTCAAGTTCTTAGCCAATTCGAATTTAGTTAAGGGATGACTGGCGATTGTGACGGAAGCGTTTCTTTTGAGCGGTGCGCGAATATTTGCTTGAATACTTGGAAGTGTTTTGAAACAAAACAATGAATGAAGTTGTGAAGTGAAAAAATTGGTGGAGTGAGTTAAAGAGAATGTGCTGAAAGAGAACTACTTGTAAATAAATGAAGAAGGGTGTCAAGAAAAAGCGTGATTGTTGAGAATTTTGTTTTGATATTTCAAAACTAAGTTGAATGCTCGATTTTTTTGTTTTGTTGTTGTTTTAAGTGATTTAATAAGGTAAAAGAAAAAAGGAAGAAAACATAAAACAAAAAAAAAAAAAAAATAATATTTACATACGTATATATGTATATACACTTACTTGTGTATTAAAAAAACTAATTATGTTTTAAACCTAAAATAAGTGAAATTCGGAACTATTTGCTCGGAAAAACTCTTTCCTGATGTGCTGAAAATAAATGGTAATAAACAAATAAATTTATGGAACCTCTTAATATAATATATCGTTACTTTAATTCACAAAGGCCGTAACAAATATTCCACACACTGCAATCTTATTATATGTACTCGTATTTGGTGCCAATTTTTTAAAAAGTCTGGTTTAGCTTAAAAATATGTACACCATAACTATAAGCAAAATGTATACAAATTCCTTTATTCTGCTCGTAGTTAAATGGTACATACTTTTAAGCTTTGATTTCTGCCAAAATTACCACAGTCTAGTATTTTATTTTACGATTGAGTTTTAAAGTATTTTTAATGCTATCTCAGAGATTTGTGCTTCCGTTCTACGGTTTGATTTGATAAAATTTATTGTTCTCTCGTTTTAATGAGTGATAAAACAAACTTTTTTAAATTATTAAAATTAACCACTTTATTTTCATATGTGTAGGTATTTAGGTACATACATAGTTTCATTCCACAAATAAAAAATCTGTTATCAAAATCTGGTAGCACTTCCATCCTGCCAGACTTTTCATGCTCTTATGGCCACAAGCTGCTCAATACAGTTCACTTCCTTGGCTTACAGATAAACCGGTTTTTGCATGGTTCCATCTTTAGTGAATTTGTCGTTCCAAAAAACATTATCTCTCCCTAATGTCGGAAGCGCCTACAGTTAAAAAAGACGATATCTTCTTCATAGTTAAGAAAAGATGTCCGCTTTTCTAGTACTTTGAATATGTTTGGGTCATGTGGAGTTGACCCGTTCGAATTTCCAGAGTTATGCATATGTATAACCACCGTAGCCAAATGGTTGAAATCCAGTTATAGTGAGTGTCGACCAAAGTAGCCGAGTATTTAAAAGGTATATAGTACCAATCGAAAGGATCCGGCTCTACATCTAAAAAGTTTGTCTCTGGCAGGTGAAAGTAAAGATTAAAGTGTATTTATGCCATGAAAACGTTTCTCACAAAAAAAAAAACATTCTTCCAATCGGAGGGACGTTATTTATTTTTACTTTGACAATAATAACATATCGCTAGCTTAGAAAGAAAAGTTGCTAACTCCCATTTTAAAAATTTTGCAGGAGAGGAAAAAATCTTCCTATAGCCATTTTCTTCAACTATTTCGCAAGACTTTGAATCAAACATTTTGCGCGTTTAAAGCAAAGCAAAACTCCATAAGAATCAGAAGGATTCGATATTTATTAAAGGATGTCGTATTATTTTCGCCTTATCGGATTTGTGGTGCTTTTTTTGGACTTAGCAAATTTTCCTTTTATTGCTTATGAAGAGGAAAAAATAAAACAAGTACCTTTATAATTTTCGAAACAATGCGTTTTCAATTTCTCTAGCCTCCTATATCAAAATATGAGTTTTCATAAAAAGTGGACTTAGCAACTTTTCACACTAAGCTAGCGATATTCTATTTTACAATGTTGCGAATATAAAGAAAATTATGTAAATGGTGTTTTTGTAGAGGTGTAAACTTTTAAATGTAAATAAAATAATTTGATGACATAATTTCCAACTGAAAATTGACTTTAGTAGAACGGTAACTTTTTTTAAAGAAGTAAGAACCAATATATGTATAATGTGATTCCAGCTGAACTCAAAGAATTAAAAGAAGTATATTCTTAGCAACAATGCAGAATGGAAATCACATTGGTTACGACATCGTGATTCGCCTCAAACGACTTCAGAACTTCAATCCCTTGGTCTCAGTGTGGTGGGATCTGAAATATGGGATAATTTTTAGTCTCCTACCAAGGAACCTCGAAGTCAATTCGGATGAGTACTGTCGACAATTTGACATTTTGAATGAATATGGAGCTTTTTCTGGTTGTCAATCGAAAACAAGTTGTGTTTCATCAGGACAACGCTGGGCCAAATTGCATATTGTAGGAGATGTAAGTTAGGTTTTGTTGGCTGACCTTAAGAGGTCTCACATAGACGAATATTAAAGAACGCAATGTTAAAGAACATCGCCGTTCCATTAGCGAATTTTAGTAGAAATTTTGGTAATTTGTCAGGTGTTGACTGCAGCTGTGCCTTGAGGAGTAAGTCTTTGCTTCTTGAATGTTGGGCACTCGCAAATTATATGCTCCACAATTTCTTCGTGATAGCTACACTTCCTGCACTTTTTGCCTTCTATAAGACCTAATATAAATGCACGTGCTGATGGCAAACGAAACCCTGTTATCAATCCTACCAGAAGCCTCGAGTTTTTTCTTCTTGTGATAGAAAGAAATCAGTAAGTTTCTTGCCGTATGAACTGAACATTGTCTTTGCAAGTCTTTAACCCCGAATTCTTTTTCCCTTGTGTCCTGGGACCAAATATAGGTGGACGGTTTTAATATTGGCGTACTTATGATTTCACGCAGTAAAGGGCTTCCTATCAAACTGCGCGCGTCCTGAGCTAACCGTCTCTCTCGCCGGATTCAGTCGAGGATTTTCGCCAACCAATAGGAGATGTTACTCGTTGATTTTCATTCACCAGGCTTGCGCGGAATAAAGTTAGATTCAAATGAGACCGTAAAGCAATACGGCAGTTTTTCCTCAATGAAGACATGCCTTCCTAATAACGGGAAATTATGAACCTCACCAAAAGATGGGATTACATTTTTCTTAACGGACTAATTAAAAGTATCTAATTAGGGAAAACTTGGCTTATGTGTATAATCGTACCAGTAGAAAAAAGCTTAGGTCCTTTTCCCCGACTTCCTGTTAAACTTAACGGGAGCTTTGATCTGCCCGTCAAATTAGTCGATCACATGCATATAACAGGCAATCGATGAAGCCGTCCATGTGTTTAGAGCGGTGATGGACTTCGCCCTGACCGCTGGTAAAGCTCTTTTAAGCTTTCTATATACATATTTTGTATAGACGCACGCATAGTAAAAGTTCTCCCTGCCCATCGTTGGTTTAAAGAAAAATTACATTTTAACAGGTAACGAGAAAACGCCCCTTAGATTATAGGATATTGGTTACTGCTTTGACTATTTTAAGGTGTATCGCGAAAATGTAATTCACGAATGAATTAAACGACCCATTTATCGGTATTCGGGTACCATGCTAATACGGAATGTCTTAGAAAGGGGCTTTTGGTTAAAGTTAAAAAGCATTAGAAAACCCACGACAATTTTGAAAGAAAGCTCGAAACTTTAACACAACTGTCAAAATTTGTGGGAACAATACCCGTACTTTGAAGACACGATTTTTCTAATTTTCGCGCTCAACAAAACCACCTAATAATTTTTTATTCGGCACGAATGTGTCTGCATTAATTTGACATGTAATTGTATACCTTGTCAGCGTCAAACGTCAACACATTAATTGAATTAAAATTACAATGGCAGACAATTTAAGTGAGTTTGTGAGTGAGAATGGCATATGAGCGAGTTGAATGGGCTGTCGGGGGTATTTTTTTTTTTTACATTCTTCGCCTTAAATTGAGGGTTGAAGAAAAAAGTTCGAAACAGCACAATAGCTGGAAAAAGTTGCCTACAAAAGACATGCACAGCATAACGACTTGTGGTAGTGTGATCGCGCTAATGCTATTAACGTGACAAGCGTTTTTTGCGCATTGCAAGCAATCAACTACCCTTTCGAATGTACATATGTATTTATGTATGTGCACATACATTAGCATTAGACCGCATCAGGAAAAATGTTCGCCACATACCTTAGAATCTAAAGTATTTTTGCAAGACAACTTAGAAAAAAAAAAAACATTTTTTTAGACTTTTCACCTTTTTTCGTCATATATTCGGCATTAACAGTGGGATCTTTTTTTGTTCCAACGCTTATTGACCTTAAGCACTCCGTTCTGCTAATTAACCATTAGCTCTTAGTTCTTATCTACCTACGTACCACCCTAATGTCAGTAAATTAAAGCTAGCCAAAAATCATCAAACTTTTGCATTCCGACTCGAAGGCAATTTTTGAATGATTTTGTTTTTGCCCGAACGTAGGGGGTCGCCTTTTAAAGTATGATGTATCGATATTCTTGTCTCGAGGTGGCAATTTGTTTTGTTCCGACTTTGATTGACCTCAGGTACCCCGTTCTAGTACTTATCCATCGTATTTCATAAGCTAGAGTTCCGCCCTAATGTCAGTAAATTAAAAGCCCACCAAAAATCACTAACTTGTGCTAAATAAAAAATGTGTTTATTGCCGAATGCATTACTTAGGTTTCACCAAAAAATTTTAAAAGTATACCCCTAGGTTAGGTAAAAAAAAATTTGAAATTACCTTGCCAAAATACTTTAGCCTCAGAAGTGTACGGCCAGTTTTTTTCTGTCCGCTTATAAGGTGGTCCGGTCTAATGTGCATATTGGATTTGTATGCTATGCTCTGTCATTGTGGATACTAAGTACGCCTTTGAGACCCTACCTTATTGTTCGGTCGCACAAACAAACTAACGGAAGCCATTACCACGCGCCACTCTAATACAAAAATAAATAAACACTCAAGCGAAATGTGCAGATATATACCGATATATGACCTCCACTTGTCAGTGGGTGATATACATACTAGTTCTGGTTATATACACGTACAAATGTATGTATCTATATTTACATAAAAACATAACTGCGTTAGCAGGTGGGTATGTAGTGTAAAGTAAGCCTATGCAAGCCCTTCTCCACAGCCAAAGCAAATAAGTTTGTCATTGCTGGGCGTGTGTGTTTACCTTGCAAGCATTGGTCGGCCAGCAAAACATAAATTTGGTTACTTTATGAACTCATACTCTATATTATACCCCGCCTCCTACCACTCTTTGCCAGGCATAAATGTAGTGGCCATCTGGCCTACGTGCGCATAAATCGATCAGCTGTTGCTGACTACCACTACTTTTCGTTAACTCACTCCGAAGCCCATTTCCCTTAACTCTCTATCTCTCTCTCCGCTTGTTGGCCTTCAAAATGAAATTTACTGTCTGCCAGTTGACATTATCGCATCGTGGGTGAGCATTGCCAAAGCAACAGAAGCTCTAAAATAGCTTCTGTTTTAAGTCTACATCCTCTTGTAGTATATGTACCTACATATGTATGTTTGTATGTAGGTACATATTGGTCACACAGCCGTTTACTGTTATCGAACGATTTATGAGTACCGTAAATGCGTTGCTTAACAAGCGCATAGGACCGTTAGGCTCGTATATTTATCTCTAATATGTAGTAGTAAATTGCATTAAAGTTGCGTATACGCCATGTGTTCTTACATTAACATTACATTAGTTGTTATACATATTTGTAGTATGCACATTGTACAACTATATGTATTTACATTTGTACATGTGTATGAGATTATGTTAAGCTGAGCCAAACGCACAATACTTGGTGTTAAGTGCTAAGTGCAGGCATAAAGTGTAAAATGATAATGAAAATGTGTGGGCGAATAGGGTGATGTATGCCTACGGTGACCATATTTATGGGAGCCGAATACGGGACAAAAAATAATTTTGCAAATTTTTTCTACAAAAACTTACAGATCTTAAAGCCTAAGATCTTAGACGTACTGGCCCTGAAACAGCATCCTTCTAGCAACATCTCAAATTTGTAGGATATTTTTTAAAAAAATTCGTTAGGTTTTAAATTTAATAAAGTGTAATTTTGATATCGCTAAAACTTTTTTGGCAATTTTTTTGTTTACGGTCTTACGCAGTTTTTCATAAAAAGTAAGTACCTATGTTCGACCATTTTTTAAAGGAGAATCAAATGAGCAGCACTTTCCACTTGCAATTTGTTATACTAAATTTTAACGAGCTACAAAACTACAAACCAAATGTTTTTTTCTAAAGATTCTAATTAAATGGTTTTGGTATTTATATTTTGGTCATTGTATGTATTCGTCGATTCAAATCACAGGCATTCAGTTTAGAAATAATAGCTGTTTATGGAGAAAATTACGATGATATACCAACAGCACTTAAAGCTGGTACATAGGCATGCAAATTTTAATGAGCAGTTAAGGAGTCAAAATAACGAACACCGAATACGGGGCAAATACAGGGCATTAAAAGAAATACAGAACATTTGGCGTCCCGTATAAAATAAATAAATTACCAGGACAATGGGTCAAAAAAGAGGACTGTCCCGTATAATACAGGACGGATGGTCACCGTATGTATGCCGCAAAATTATGTATGTAACCAGTGACACCCAGGAAAATAATTTACGGGGCCGTTGGGGAGACTGCGGGTGGTTTTGCACTTCTAAAGATATATCACCAAGAAAATACTGAAAATTCGTTATCGATTTTAAATGTATGCATTTACTCATTTAAATACATGTATGCAAGTATATAGTGTCGACCTCTTCAATAGCGTCCTCTTTTGAATACCAGTACTTGCATTTTGCCTTTTGTTTTAATAAATATTCGTAAATTATTTTTTTATACAAATTTAGTATATTCTATTTCAAAAACGACGTAAATCCGATTTTCAAACTATAACCAAATTTATAATAATGCAATATTTTCATCAAAATTTTAAAACTATATAAAAAATGTTCATTCACATAAAAATAGACAAAAAAATTATCAAAAAGCAAGTTCTTACTATTTGCGCTTTATTATACATGATAATTGAACGGGTTATAAAACTGCATACCTAAACAAGTTCTTAAAGTTTTTTTTTTAAATAAATATTTTAGAATTTCATAAATTGCTCTCTTTTATATAAAATTGAAAAAGAATTCACAATTTTTTTGTTATGAAAAAATTCTATATACTCATGATGCGCTTAACATTCTAAAGTTAATACATATAAAAATAAAAAATAAAAATAAATTCAATAAAAATAAATAAATTAATTTCAAGGAATTGTTACGGTTGTATTGTCCATTTTCCTAAAATTTTCAGCAAATTTTACCACATTTCTTATCACTGTGGGATAAAGATAAAGAAGAGCTAGGCTGTTCAATCTTCCTTGCAACATTTTTCTTGTTATGGGAAGAGTTACTAAATCGAACAATAATAAAATTAGCGTACTGTTGTTGGTCTCTCTTCAGGTTTCAAGCTGAACAAAATTGTATACCACATTCTTATCTAAATAAACAACTCATTTCACCTTAACCCACCTTACCTCCACTCAATTCACCTCTACTCACCTTAACTTA